AGGTCCCTTCTGACCCTAGAAACTATGAAACTATGAATTAGCTCTCCAGCAGATAGTGCTTTTTTACCACTCAGCTTTGATTACCTGATATTACTGTCCTCCATCACATGAGATGTCTCCCCAGCATCTCCCTCATAGGACATCATACTTTCTTCATTGTCCATGCCCATACGTGTGTTCTCTTGGAGGACATGAGGCTGCTTGGGCCTCACTGCATTGGACTCCACGTCCGAATCACTGCCACTCTCACTTAGCTGGATAGCTGTGCAACAAAGAGACTTGCCAATTAATTTTGACCTCTTTTGAATGACCTAATTCTCAGTCCCATTTTAACAGCCAAAAGCTTCAACAGCAAGGAAGTCCATTTCCCATCTAAATCACACTTGTATTTTCATTACACCATTGGCCCAGTCCAGCTCCACATTACCCCAGCAACCCACCTGAGCCTTAGTTTTTTCCCTTCCATCCTTCAGAGCTCCCCTATCAACCAGAAACATCAGATCCTGCCTAAGCTTCTGTTTCCTGAGTCCACACATTTCACTTCTACTCCACTTCATCTTGGCCTACACCCGAAATTCATGCAACTTGCTTCTTGCTCTCGTTATCTAGTAGGTAACTGGGCTGTAAACATCTGGTCTTGTCACCTCAGTACCCTGAATACCTACTATCCCAGGCTAGAATATATGCTACAGTGATCAAAGTACATGGGGGGTGGCTAGGATGGGAACAGCCATTTCCTGCTCAGACCTGTAACGTCAAGACCCTAACATACATGAGAAAGGATTATCGCCTTCTTCGTCACTCCCATCATCATCATCATCATCATCATCATCTTCTCCATCTGACATGAGCAGATCTTCATATAGAACACTGGCCTGAGGCTGCTGAGCTGAGCCTTCTTCTTCATCAGCAAGGTCACCATCTGCATCTTCAACTTCCTATGTCACACACAACAAGAATGGCACAGGTCAAAAAAAAAAATCACGTAAGCTGGTACATGCTTACTAATTGACACAATTAATGAACAATACATTCAAGTCATTTGTTTTTATGCTGACTGTTTCATGACCACAGATAAATCTCATTAATCACTGCTGTGAATTCTGCTGTCACTCAGGGTACCAGACCCAGCAGACTTGCCCTGCACTATGGAGTCTTCTACTATGAGGATGCAGATCAACAATGTGGACTACAGATGGGATTTCTGTAAATATACTCACTGGGGCTGGAGTCTTAGGTTTCCCATCATCATCCTCATCAAACCCTTCAATATCTACGTCAGAGTCTTCCTCGCCCAGCCTACCTCGTCCCTGGCGCATCTGAATGAGGAACACAAATAGCAACACCGTTGAGGGAGGCACTAGTGTCAGAAGGAGGAGTCTGACTGACATCTAGACCACAATAAAAATATACCCTGGGAACAGGGACTCTTTTTCCTAAGAACTTCAAGACCTAACCAAATCTGTTTCCTGGCTGCTTCTGCTACACTCTTCTCTAAGGAGGTCACAAGAAAGCGAGGCAGGCATTTCTCTCTACTTCCTAGCTATTACAGGATGGGCACTTTGTCCTAGGAGGACTTGTGGTTGGACGTCATTTCCTCCAAGTCAGTAGGCTGGTTCAGCAGCTTACAGCTGTAGCCACATGCATCGGAAAACATGCAGATTCTGTCCCCAGAGATGCAGATACTACTTACTAGGAGGCATTTTAAAACCCCAGATACGAGTGATACTGCATTCTGCACTGAACTTTCTTCCTTGCCTGTTCCATCAGTTGCTCTGTTGCCATTCTCACTCTTTCTGCTCTTGTCATTTGCCCTCTCTCTCTTTCTCCTCAATGCCCTCTTCCCCCTTAATACCCAGGTTTTCCATTATCCTCCTCTTCATCCTCCCTCACTCCATCTTTAGCCCCTATTAGGGAAACAAACCCAGCAAAAACAAACGACCTAGCAAAACTTGCTCCCAGCATCACCCTAGCCAATTTGGAAATACGTTGTGATCCTTAATCCCCACTGCTTCCCCCACTGTCATCTTTTAAACTATAAGATGGTGGCAACAAATGTGTCCTCTTGTGCATTTCATCACAATAAAATAATGATCATCTTCCACCCCATGGAAATTACTCTTCCTTTACCCTATTCAAAACTAAAGAGGCACCGACTTTCACGGCTCTGCAGCAGGACTGACCAGGTTATTGTTTTTCCTAGCACTACAGCAAATGAAGTCCCCTGGTCCTAGACAGCCCCCTATCACTTTTTACTCTTCACAGCCACAGAGAAACATATTTCACCAGTGGCCTTGCACACACCTGCCTCTTTCCAGTTTTTCTGTCTCATTTACAATGACCACAAGGAAGGAAAGCATGCCATTTTCTCAAAGGCTTTCCATCTCCAGGTGAAAGCTACATATTTTTTTTTCCCTTCTGGGTCCCACAGAGTAATTGCCTCCTTAAAAAAAGGCACTTATTTGACCCAGCTCTCTACCAAAGAACGGGGGAAATCTGACCTGGGCTCCCCGCTTCTCTGGGGTAGTGGTAGGAGTATCCATAGCAGACAAATTGCTCTCATCTTGATAGACAGAAGCATCACGTGACATACTGAGGGAAGTGTTGGTATCATATAAGTCTGGTGGCTAAAGTACATGAGGAAACAGGAGACAAAAACTTCTCAAAAGCCAAATCAAGACTTTAGAAGACCTCAGGAGGAAAGCATGATTGGAACTTCACTACCTTCAAAAATACATGTGTTTAGCTCTCAGTATAAAACACTGTATAATAATCAGAAATAGTAATTTTCTCCTAGGAAAAAGAAAAAAAAATTGAACTAAAAATGGTAAAGAACCCACAACTTGTTACGTCTTTCTATAGGAATAATCTTATTACAAAGTGGACAGATTCAGAAAACAGAAATAAACGGTTGTGGAGACTGTATTAGATATGAAGACAGGTGGCATTTTCTCTCTCCTTCCCTGACTAATCAGAATGGTTCTCAGCTGTACACATACCATCTAATCTTGTTTTAAATGTTTCAATAACTGGGACTTCAGCAACTTCCTTTATAGACAGTTCCATAACCTGAGATTACCCACTGTCAGGAAGTGACCCCTGTTTAGCCTAAATATCCTCCCCTCTTAAATCCATCCATCACTCCTAATTAAATCTCCTTCCCTCTTATCTGCAATCATTCCTATTCCCTGTTTTGGACTAGATACCCAAAGAACACTTGTGGTCCATTACCTCCAGTTACTCCATACACACCCCAATGGCTTCACCTAACTTGAATGTTTAACTTCCTCTTTAGAGTAAGCTGTACAGGCCCTTAACTCAAAATCACCAAACTTACTCTGTCCTGCCATTTTCCTAGTATTGCAGTGCCCAGAACTAGATGCAATGTTCCACGTATAGTCAATTCGATCCACGTGAAGAAAGAAGCTACTTATCTGCAGCAGGAAAAGCAACTGCAGGGAGAGTCCTGCTTAGGCCGTGCAGCACTCTTCAACACATAGCAGCTAAATTCTCTAAAACAATGTCCACTGAGCATATGAGGACAGATTTTTTTTTTCCCCCAAGACTTATGAACTCAACCCAACTTAGGCATGTTTTCCAGAGGAACAGCAAAAGATACATCCATGATACCAGGATGACCCTCCCCCACCATTACATTTTAAGTCAAGTCCTTGTTACAGAGCATGGAGGCATCTGAACTTTCAGCCAACTAGCTGTGAATTTTTTTCAATATGGGCAAAGTAATACACATTTTTCCAAATCTAGTTCTTGGAAAAAGCTGAATTCTTTTGGCTGATGCTTTTTAAAAAATTCAGCATGGAAATTTTCAGCCCAAGTAATCAAAGCTTGGCAAAGAAATATCAGACTACATTAGGCATAGACCTAGGCTGTCAACATGCTCAGAGAACATGATCTGCTTGTAGATGTCTCTGGCACAAAACAGTAAAATCAAGGGTTTTGCAGGATTCAGAAGGGTTGTTTTCATTAGGTGGAAAAGCTGAGGGTAAAATATCTGAACAAACAGGAACGCAAAGAATACCATCACATTTCTTTCAACACTGTATGACACAAATGAGAGGCAGCTTCTCCACTCAGTTTTAAGCTTCTTTCTAGCCAGCACGCTACCCAAAAATCTCAGGGTCATGTTAGTAGTGCTTTTCTTGCTGACTCACGTCTTTTTCAGTCTTCTCTGCCCATCTCTGACTACTATTACTGACAGCCCCAACACTGCCAATTGGCTCTCAGTTAAACCCCTCCACTCACATATCTCAGTTTGTAACCAGCGTTGTAAGTTGCTTGTGTTTGGGGTTGTAGCTCTTCCTGTTTCAGGTATCCAGAATTCATTCAAAAAGAAGAATTCAGGAGGCTGAAAGGACTGGCTTATGAGGACAAATTGAAAGACTTTTATGTATAAGGCTCAACTAAACAACAATTAAATATGGGGGCACACACCCCGTAAACTAGAGGTCTGAAGAGATTAATTCAAGGAGGTACATGTGGTTATAACAATGAGTAATATCATTAATGAAAAGCAAGAGATAAATGCAGCAGCCTCCTGACAGACGCACTCAGGTGTGGAATATTCTCTTCAAGTGCATTTAGAAGCAGCCTACTCTATTTAGTACTAAGCTGGACATGCGTTCCAGTGTGCGCCGTAAACAATAATCCTGCTCTGACTTTTGGAAATGGCCCAGATGATCAAACAGCCATGCACCAGTAACTGCTGCAAGAAACAGGGACAGGCAACAAGAGGTTCCTGTGGATCAAACCATTAATGACAAATATAGGAACAGCACAATCTTGCTTTGTTACACTTGCCTGAGGTGTGTAGGGACCAGGAGTCATAGGATCAAGACTTTCTAAATCTGCCTCCTCCAGTGCTGCTTCTTTAGCAGTAGAGATGTCTCTTTCCAGCTGTGTCAAGTGCTCATCATACTAAGAAGAGAAACATGCATCAAGATTGTAGAAAACCAAAAATGCATTACTCAGACTTCACAGCAGAGCAGGCAACGTACCTCAGCCAGCGTCTGGTAACAGATGTTCACTATTTCCTGAGCCGTTTTTGTGTACTGACTGTCAGGTCCTGCAACAAGAACCACACCTCAAGTTGCCCAACATATCAGTGATGCCTCAAGAACTGAAGCACCAATGTGTTCAAGCCACCCAAATAAGAGGCCTTCCCAAGCTAGCCTTTTATATTTGGAAGAGCATTTAAAAAGCAAATTTTCCAGCAGCTGAGATGAAGAGCACCTCAAAACGGTGGATGGTAGGAATTTCATACTAGGTTATGTGAATGGTGCATTTAGCCCTGTATCCTACCTCCAACACTAGCAGTAGCAGATACTTTTTGTGGGACAGGATATGAGCAGGAAATATCTGGACTGATGTATGCCCTATCATACCCTCCCTGGTATCCACCACCATTGATTTATAGACACTAGAAAATCCCTGACTCCTGTTTAATAGCTTAATTAACATCCATCAACCATGAATTTGTCCAGTCCTTTTTGAACCTGGCTACACTCTCTGCCTCTATAACTTCCTGTGGTAATGAATTCTACAAATTAGTTATGCACTATGTAAAAACCACTCTCTCTTGTTAGGTTTAAACTTATCTCCTACTCATTTCACTGGGCATCCCCTAATTCTAGTCCTGTGAGACCTGTTTAAAAACGGTTTCTTATTCATTTTGTTCTCACACTTCATGGTTTTACAGACCTCTACCATATCCCCCCTCATAATAGCTAATTCTGAATCCAGCATTGCATTCACTTCAGATTACTTTCCCCCATGCTTGCATTTGTCAACACTGAAGTGCATCTACTGTTTTCTTCTGCCTGCTCATTCAGCTTAACAAGACTTTCTGCAACTCCTCTATCATCTCAGTATTTGACTACCCAGAACCGTTTAGTACAGGGGTGGGCAATTATTTGGGCTGGAGGGCCACTTAAGAAGTTTTGGTGATTTGTTGCAGTGAGGGGGAATGGAGGGGAGAGCTGACCCAGCCCAGCGCAGTGGGGGTGGGGGGTAACTGATCCTATCCTAAAGTTGTACGAATTTAAGTGTGGGACTTCTACTACTCACTTCCCTTTGGAAACTATTCTATTGCCTGATACTTACCCAATGCATAAATTTAAAAGAATGCTGCCAACATGGCATTTATCATAAAAAAAAAAAGGGGGGGGGGGGGGA